GGAAAAAAAAAAAAAAAAAAAAAAAATCTGTTTAGGGGACATGGATGTTTGTGTGTGACGGAGCAGTCCCGGGAGCCCGGAGGCTTTGCCACCCTTCCCGGCGTGGCGACACGTGGGCCGGGCTCCCGAGGGCCCACTGCGGTCCCCGTCCCAGTGCAGGGGCCATTCGCTCCTAGAGGCAATAAATTTTCCTCCGACGTCGAGGGCGGGGGGGGAAGGGTGGCCCCGGGAGGGTCTTCCAGGCCGACAAGGCAGGTTTTGCCGTCGGCAAAAGGAAGTTTGGGTGAGCAGCAGGGCAGCCAGGTGCACAGGCAGCCGTGGGGATGCCCGGCTCCTGGTGACGCCTGGGGACACGGCTAGCGTGGCGAGCTGCGCCAGGCCAGACACGCCAGCCCCACGGAGAGGGGAATGCCTCGCACCCCGGTGAAACGAGGGATCACCCAGAGAGGGGAAAAAAAACCCAACAAAATAAACCCCCCCAAAAACCAAAACCAACAAAAAGATACAAGAAAAAAAAAACACCAAAAAAAAAAATCAAAAACCCAAACCCCACAAACACCGGAAAAACGAAGCCTTTCGGTGGATAGATGGATCAAGGATGGGCACCCGGAGAAATAAAAGAGAAGAAGGGTGGAGAAGCAGCCCCCCAGGAGGGCAGCCTGAGCGCTCTCTTAGCGGCACATTGTTAAGCAAACGAAGCGCTCCACCTAAGAAAGTACCCAAGTTTTATTGTGGTCATTGTTTTGTCCTTTTGCTCAAGTGCTTGCAAAAGTCTTTTTGGCTCCTGCTACAGTTAATTTACCGCTCGCCCACTTCTGTTTGGGAGATAATGTTGGATTTGGGGTGGTGTTTTTTTGAAGCCAAATAGCCAACAGAGCCGAGAAGAAAAAATAATAGCTTGCGAAGGAAAGAAGCTTTTGAAATAGCCACAAAAAGACCAAAAGCAGAGGGCAAGAGAAGCCTCCGCAGACAATAACCTTGTTCGAGCAGGACTCGAGTCTCGTTTCTCCTCGCTTTGCTTCCTTTAACCTCCGTGGAAAAAAAAAATAAAAAAAAAAATCAAATCCCATGGGGTGGCTTCATGGCTAGCCCCAAACTTTCTGCAGATCGGACGGTAGCCTCTTTGATTTCGCTGGCCACTTTCCTCCCCGCTGGCAGGCAGAGGCACAGAGGCTAGCAGCGGCCCGCAGGCAGACAGGCAGGGCAGGGCCCACTGCCCCCCCGCGCCGGGGCTCGGCAGGTCCAGGAAAGCTTTTTTTTTTTTTTGGCATTAATTTATTATTTTTTTTTTT